GGCTTCTGTAGCCTCCTTTGCTCCTGGCTTTTCCTCCTACCTCTGTGGCTTCTCCTTTCTAAGCTCCTCTTCCTTTGCCTCCTTTTCTTGGGCTTGTTTCCTGAAAGCTTTGCCTTCTCTCTCTCTGTGCATTGCCCTGGGCAGTTTCATCGAATCATCTCCTGATGGCTCTCGGATCTCTATCACCCTCCCAGGTACCTTTTGGGAGCCTTGGAACCACTTATCCAGCTGCCTTTCTGGCATCTTCTCTTGGGAACCCCTCTGCTCAACACACTTAAAGTGAAGTCATGATCTTTCCTCCCAGTAACCTGGTGGTACCTTATTCTGGCATGATTACACTTTTGTTTGTTTCCTTTTGTTTGCTACTGTCTGTCCCCCCCAACATTATCTAGACTAGGCTCTCAAATCTGTCTGTACACTGGAATCATTGAGAAGCTTTTAAAAAAGATGCTAATGCCTGAGTCCCACCCCACAGAAATTATGATTTAATTGCTTTGGGTTTATGACCTGGGCATCAATACTTTTTTTAATTGTGGTAAAAAACATATAACATGAAATTTACCAAATTAACCATCTTTAAGTGTACAGTACAGCAGTGTTAACTATATGCAATTATTGTACAACAGACCTCTAGAACTTTTCCATCTTGCAAAATGCAAACTCTATACCCTTTGAACAACAACTCCTCTTTCGCCTTCCCCCCAGACCCTGGCAACCACCATTCTACTTTCTTTTTTTTTTTTTTTTTCATTCTACTTTCTAAGAGTTCGATTACTTTAGATACTTCATAGAAGTGGAGTCATGCAGAATCTGTCTTTTCGCGACTGGCTTATTTCACTCAGCATAATGTCCTCAAAGTTCATCCATGTTGTTGCATGTGATGGGATTTCATTTTTTAGGCTGAATAGTATTCCACTGTATGTCTACATCACATTATTTTTTCCCCCAGCTTTATTGAGATATAATTGAATTACACCTTTATGTAAGTCTAGGGTGTACAATGCGATGATTTGGTGTATGTGTGTACTGTGAAATGATTGCCATGGGAAGGTTAGTTAACACATCCATCACCTCACATAAGTATGTCTTATGAGTCTGGTGAAAACATTCAAGATCTCTCTTAGCAGTTTTCAACTACACCATGCCATACATTAGATCCCCAGATGTGATTCATCTTATAATTGGAAGTTCGTACCTTTGACCAACACCTCCCCATTTCCCCCACCCCCTAGCTCTTGTCAAAAACCAATCTACTCTCTGTTTCTATGAGTTTGGCATTTTTATTTTTTAAAATTATATATTTATTTATGGCTGCATTGGGTCTTCTTTGCTGCGCACGGGCTTTCTCTAGTTGTGGCGAGTGGGGGCTACTCTTCGTTGTGGTACGCGGGCTTCTTTCTGATTGCGGTAGCTTCTCTTGTTGTGGAGCACGGTCTCTAGGTGCTCAGGCTTCAGTAGTTGTGGCACGTGGGCTACAGTAGTTGTGGCTCGCGGGCTTTAGAGCGCAGGCTCAGTAGTTGTGGCTCATGGGCTTAGTTGCTCCGCGGCATGTGGGATCTTCCTGGACCAGGGCTCGAACCCGCGTCCCCTGTATTGACAGGTGGATTCTTAACCACTGCGCCACCAGGGAAGTCCCGAGTTTGGCATTTTTAGATTCTACATATAAGTGAGATCATGCAGTATTTGTCTCTCTTTGTCTTATTTCATTTAGTATAATGCCCTCAAGGTTCATCTGTGGTTTTGCTAGTGGCAGGATATCTTTTTTTTAATCACTGAATAACATATCATTAAATATATACGTATATAATTTTCTTGTCTTTATCCGTTCATCTGTCAACAGACACTTATGTTGTTTCCATATCTTGGCTATTGTGAATAATGCTGCAGTGAACATGGAAGTGCAGAAATTTCTTCAAAATTGTGATTTCATTTCCTTGGGCTATATACTCAGAAGAGGGGTTGCTACATCACATGGTAGTTCTATTTTTATTTTATTGTATTTTTTTATCAATTTTTAAATTGAAGTATAGTTGATTTACAATGTTGTGTTAATTTCTGCTGTACAAAGTGATTCAGTTATACGCATATATACATTTTAAAATATTTTTTCCGTTATAGTTTATCATAGGATACTGAATATAGTTCTCTGTGCTATTCAGTAGGACCTTGTTTTTTATCCATTCTATGTATAAAAGCTTACATCTGCTAAACCCAACCTCCCACTCCACCCCTCCTCTAGCCCCCTCCCCCTTGGCAACCACCAGTCTGTTCTCTATGTCTTTGATTCTGTTTATTTTTCATAGATAGGTTCATTTGTGTTATATTTTAGATTCCACATATTAAGTGATATCATATGGTATTTGTCTTTCTCTTTCTGACTTCACTTAGTATGATAATCTCTAGTTGCATCCTATTTTTATTTTTTTAAGGAGCCTCCATACTGTTTTCCATAGTGGCTGTACCAATTTACATTCCCACCAACAGTGCACAGGGTTCCAATTTCTCCAGAGCCTCGTCAACACTTGTTATTTTCTGTTTGTTTGTTTTGTTTTGTCTGCTGTTGTTTGTTTGTTTGTTTTGGATCCTAGCGAGTGTGAGGTGGCGTCTCACTGTGGTTTTGACTTCCATTTCCCTGATGATCAGCGATATTGAGCATCTTCTCATGTGCTTATTGCCCATTTGCACATCTTCTTTGGAGAAATGTTTATTCAAGTCCTCTGCCCATTGGGTTATTTGTGGGGTTTTGTTGTTATTGTTGAGTTGTAGGAGTTCTTTTTATATCCTGGATATTAACCCTTTATCAGATATGTGGTTAGTAAATATATTCCCCCATTCCATAGGTTGCTTTTTCACTCTGTTGATTGTTTCCTTTACTGTACAGATGTTTTTAGTTTGATGTAGTGCCATTTGTCTATTTTCGCTTTTGTTGCCTGTGTTTTGGTGTCATATTCAAGAAATCATTGCCAAATCCAATATCATGAAGCTTTTCCTCTATATTTTCTTCTAGGAGTTTTATAGTTTCAGGTCTTACATTTAGGCCTGTAATTCATTTTGAGTTAATTTTTGTAATTGCCCAAATTCATTCTTTTGCATGTGGACATTCAAATTCCCCAGCACTGGGGACTTCCCTGGTGGTCCAGTGGTTAAGACTCTGTGCTTCCAATGCAGGGGGCGTGGGTTCAATCCCTGGTTGGGGAACTAAGATCCACACGCTGCACAGCATGGCCAAAAAACAAAACAAAACAAAAATCAAATTCTCCAGCATCATTTGTTGAAGATACTTTCCTTTTCCCATTGTGTGGCCCTGACATCCTTGTAGAGGAGCATTTGACCATATATGTGAGGGTTTACTTTTGGGCTGTCTGTTCTGTTCCATTGGTCTATAGTTCTGTTTTTATGCCAAGTACCATACTGTTTTGTTTACTGTAGGTTTGTAACATTTTGAAGTAAAAAAGTGTGAGGCTTCCAGGTTTGCTTTTCTTTCTCAAGATCATTTTGACTGTTCATGGTCCTTTGAGATTCCATATGGATTTTAGAATTTTTTTTCTATTTTTGCAAAAAATGCTATTGGGATTTTGATAGGAATTGCACTGGATTTTTTTAGGTCACTTTCGGTAGTATGGACATTTTGACAGTATTAAATCTACACTCCATAAATATGGATGTCTTTTTTTTCTTTTAACACAGATTTTATTTATTTATGGCTGTGTTGGGTCTTAGCTGTGGCACGTGGGAACTTTTGTTGCAGTACACGGGCTTTTCATTGTGGTGTGCAGGCTTCTCTCTAGTTGTGGCACATGGGCTTCTCTCTAGCTGTGACGTGCAGACCCTGTAGTTGTGGCACGTGGGCTCCAGAGCATGTGGGCTCTGTAGTTGTGGCATGTGGGCTCAGTGGTTGCGGTGCGCAGGTTTAGTTGCCCCACGGCATTTGTGATCTTATTTCTCCGAACAGGGATCGAACCCACGTCCCCTGCATTGGAAGGAAGATTCTTAACCACTGGACCACCAGGGAAGTCCCAATAAATATGGATGTCTTTCTGTCTATTTGTGTCTTCTTCAATTTCTTTCAGCAGTGTCTTGTAGTTTTCAGTGTGCAAGTCTTTTGCTTTTCTGGTTAAGTTAATTCCTAAATATTTTATCTTTTTTGATGCTATGGTAAGTGGGATTGTTTACTTAATTTCTGTTTCATATTGTTCATTGTTAGTGTGTAGAAATGCAAATGATTTTGTGATTTGATTTTGTATCCAGCAACTTTGCTATATTTGTTTATTTGTTCTAACAGTGTTTTCTGTGGGGTTTTCTACATATAAGATTATGTCATCCATGGAGAGAGATCATTTTACTTCCTCCTTTCCAATCTGGATGCCTTTTATTTCTTTTTCTTGCCTAATTGATCTGTCTAGGGCTCCCAGTACTGTGTTGAATAGAAGTGGCAAGAGTGGGTATCCTTGTCTTGTTCCTGATCTTCAAGGGAAAACTTTCAGTTTTTCGCCATTGAGTATGATGTTAGCTGTGGCCTTTTCATATATGGCCTTTATTATGTTGAGGTAGTTTCCTTCTATCCCTAGTTTGTTGAGTATATTACCTCTTGCCCAGACTATTAGAATAGTTAAGTAGCTTGTCTTCCTGCCTTCTGTGCTCCCTAATGTCTCCAAACCGCAGAGAGTGTAGAAAGAGCCTGGGGGATTAGAACCAGCCACCATGAGGGAAGCTGGAGTATAGGGTGTGGGCAAGCAGCACGTGGCCTGATGCTTTCCCCCTAGGAGCCAGGGAAGCAGAGAGCTGTGGGGTGAGAGGGGCCTCCCTTCCCTCTAGTCCCGCAAAGTCGCTATCCCTCAAGCCCCGTGCCTCAGGAGCATCCTGTCCCCCACAGACCCTTTGGTCATGCTTCTGTGGCTCCAGTAGCCCCGCCCCTAATCCCCTCTTGTCCAGACTTTCCAGCCCCTGTCCCTGCCCCACAGTCAGATCTGGGTCCAGAACCTTGCATTACTTACTTTCAGCACCATGGGAGGAGGATGAGATCCGCAGGGACCGAGTGGAGCCCCAGAGTGTGTCCCTGTCATGGCGGGAGCCCATCCCCGCTGGAGTCCCTGGGGCCAACGGCACGGAGTATGAGATCAGATACTATGAGAAGGTGAGTCGGGGTCTGGGAGGGACCTGGGGCTGCATTCCTGGCTGTGATCTGCCCCCCTCACCCGCTGGCTTCCTTCTCTTCGTAAGCACCTCCCAGCAGAAGTCCTTCTTACTTTCTTTCTAAACATTTCCACAGGCCCCCTCAGGGGCCTCCCCAGCCGGGGTTACCTCCTGTCCTCTCCTCAGCATGGACCCCACTGCTCTCCCTCTTTCCCCACGTCTCCGTTCATCACTGGTCATCATGTCCATTTTCACCACTTCTGCCTAGTGTGTACAGTTGACAAGAAGCCTTCTCTGGGGGCTGATCCAGATTTTGTGTGGCGGAATCATGTACATACAATTTGCAATCCTTTTAAGAAAAAGAATGCAGAAATACATTGTTTCAAATTTTACAGAAAGGTACCACGGTGGGGGCACGCTAGGTCATGGGACCCCCGTGTTGGTAAACGTTTAGCAGCCAGCTCTGCAGAACAATGAACGTGTGCAATATTTTTATAATTTTGCTGACGTGAGGAATGTGTAACCCATCATTTACAAATAAGAATAGAAAATATACAGCGATCCTTATTGTAAACTCCATATCGCCAGTTGGTTCTCATAGGATACTTCTTGCTGATTTTTGCTGACCTCATGTATCTGTTGTCATCTGTGGTTGCAGCTCAACCATGGTTTGACAAGTGGAGTTACATCCGGATCCACTGTCTCTTTTCCGCATAAGTTAATAAACTTATGAATTTAAATTCAAACTGTTTGAATTTGACATGTAATCTGCCGTTAAACTGTTTCTCACCTTGGTGCCAATTGTATTCATTAAAGTGAAACCTTGCTTTCAACTTAGCACTACATGTGTCAGGACTTCACTCCCTCCTCAGTGACTCCAGGGAGTTCTTTGCGGAATCGGTCAAAGTTTTTGAATTCGAGAAGTCTGGAGAGCTGTGAGTTGAGAGAGAGAGACGGAGACAGAGAGAGAGAGTTGGGGGCTTTCAGCATAGAGATAGTAGCTGAAGCCAAGGGAGCAGAAGGGATGACCAAGGGAGTGGGGCATGAATGAGAAGAGAAGTCAGGGCAGAGCTCTGGGGATCCCTGGTGTCTAGGAGACCGCAGCGAAGATCACTGGGAAGGAGCTAGGCACGCAGCAGTTGCTCATTGAACTGACACTTGGGGATCACAGCATAGATACAGTCCCAGCACTGAGCTGGGTGGTTGCTTCCAGGCCCTTAGGGAGTTTGAAGTTGCTGGGAACAAAAACCCTTGAAAAGAGGAGCCAGTACCAAAGGGGCTGTGTTTGAAAGCCTTCAAGAATGTCTCATGGAGCCCGATGACCAGAAGTGTGGCTGGTGTCACGAGCTCCTCACGCCGACTTCTCTCTGTGCACCATCTCCACCTCCTCTGCAGGGGCCTTGCTCCTAGCACCTGGCAGCTGCCGAGGCTGGCAGCCTTGCCCCTTTCCCCCTCCCCGCCCTGAGCCTGTCCCGTCTCATAGGTCATGCAGTCATTGCACTGTCTTTCGGTGGTTTGTTCAAATGCCCGGAAGGGAGATTCTGATTGGCCCAGCTTGGGTCAGAGTCTTCCCTGATTCCTGAATACCATGGCCCTAGAGCTGGGGCCACAGGTATAGGGGAGGTGCACCTCTGGGGGCTGTGAGTGTGGCAGGGGCTCTAATAAGGGCGTGTGGGCAGAGACAAAATAATGGTGGCATGTCCAGCAGGTACCATTATCAGATGTGTTGGGGGCAGGACGATGTAGAGCACAGAGCACGGGGCCTGAAGGAATCGAGAAGGTGTCACCCCAACCCTTCTTTGATGTGAGCCTCACCTGTTAAAGGAGATAGGAATGCTGCTGTGAGGACTGTAGGAAGTTGGCTCCTATAGGGTCTAGCCCAGCAGCGGGCAGTGAGTGGACCGTTGCTGGGGGCCGTGGGAGAGCCTCTCTACCCCTCTGAGCCCGATTCCTTATCTGTGAATCCATGCCTTGCAGGACATTGTGAAAGTCCGATGCCAAGGGGAAGGAAAAGCTGTGTGATCTGACAAGGGCCGAGCAGGTGTCAGGCCCTTGTCTTCTTCTTTCCTCTGAGGGGTCAGGTGCAGCTCACCCTCTGGACTGCCAGGCCCTGATGCCCTTCATTCTAGCATCCCTTTGAAGGCCAGCATCTTCTCTAAAGTTTCTCTTACTTGGAGATGGGGCTGTTCTCAGCTACAAGTACCACCGAGTATGGGTGGGAGCTCGTGGTGGAGAAAGGGGCTGGTGATCCTATGGAAGAAAGCTGTGGGATCTCCCCAAGACAAGTGGAGTTATTCCACCAGCCCAGGTTCCTCCCTACTCCTTCCCCCCGACATTCTCCCAGGAGCGTGGGGCCAGCCCTGGGTCTGGGCCTCACTTCTCGGTCCCTCCCCAGGGTCAGAGTGAGCAGACTTACTCCACGGTGAAGACAGGGGAGCCTGCGGTCACCGTCACCAACCTCAAGCCGGCTACCCGCTACGTCTTTCAGATCCGGGCGGCTTCCCCGGGGCCCTCCTGGGAGACCCAGAGCTTCAACCCCAGCATTGAAGTGCAGACCCTGGGGGAGGGTAAGTGATGTGTCAAGTGAAGAGAAAACCCAGCCCGGGGCTGGAGCAGGGAGGCAAATCGGGGCGGGGCGGGGGGGTGGTGGTGCGTTATCTGTGCAATTAAGGGAACCTGTAGAACAGTTCAGTCACAACCTAATTAATGGATGAATTTGGTTGGACTTCCCTGGCGGTTCAGTGGTTAAGACTTTGCGATTCTACTGCAGCGGGCACGGTGGAACTGGTGGGAGAACTAAGATCCCACATGCTGCTCAGTGTGGCCAAAAAAAAAAAAGAAGCATGAATTTGGAATCCAACAACTAGTGGCTTACATTGGGTACCTGTCCTGGAGGAACTCACAGGGGAGGGGCCCATGAACAACTATAACCCGGGTCTCAGCTGGTGTCTCCCTGCCTCCCAGAACCTCCCGTGTCTCGTGGAAACATCCTGTGCCCTCTCCAAGATTCTTCTCTTTTCTTGGGAGAAATTTTTGTCTCCTGGTCACTTCTTGCCCTTGACCGCTAAATTCTTGTTCCCATCCTGCTGCTTTGTCACTGCCATGATACAGACTCAAACGTGGGCCCCCGTCCCTCTTCCCACTAGGCCTTACAGTGTGAAGCAGAGGGGTGAGGCCCAGCTCACCCTCTGGACTGCCAGGCCCTGACATCTATCACCCTAGCATCCAACCCTCCCTGAGGGTTGGGGCACATGAAGGGAGTTGCACCTGCAGCGGTAAACAAAGCAAAACACCGGGAGAAGTGGTTAGGATTCGGCGCGTTCATTGCCAGGGCCTGGGTTCAATCCCTGGTCAGGGAACTAAGACCTCATGAGCTGCGTAGTGCGGCCAAAAACAAACAGAAAAACACCAGGAGAATTGTACACTTTCAATGGGTGAATTGTACGGTATGAGAATAATTTCTCAATAACGCTCTTATCAAAACAAAAGCTGAACATCAGATATTCCCAATCCTAACGCAGCTCCAGCTCTTCGGCATGGTATGGTGCTACCCGCTCCTCCCTTGGCTTCCCTCCGCTGGTTCCTCTTCTCCCCACCCACCCCCAGTCCCCCCTCCTGATGCGTGCAGAGCATTTAGCGCTCTCTTTTGTTGTTCTCCTGCTGCTAACCCAGCCCTCAGGATCTCACCTCTATCTACCGGAGCAGCTCACAAAAGTATTTTCCCGGACAAAGGCAGTTCCCCCTAAGAGGCATCCTGTCACCAGCTGTCTAGATAATAATTCTTTCCAACCTGCTACATGAGTCTAATCCAAGATAGGAAGAGTTCTGAGCCCAAAGGGAGGTGGAGATAAAATGTGGAGGGAGTTTGAGTTCTGGGAAAGGAAAACAGCACTTCTTGCTCGAACGCCTGTGTCTCTGCCAGACCTCGGCCAGGTGCTGGCAAGAGATTAGAGCTGTGTCTTGAAGGCTGGGGAACGTCTGAGTGTGGAGGTGGGCAGGGAAGGCATTTTGGATAGAGGAAGCCATCAGAACAAAGGCTCGCGGGTTTGGCTGGAGTGGGTGTGGCGGAGGGCGGGAGCTGGGAGCCGTAGCTGAAGAGGGCTGATGACTTCCCTTAATTTGGTGCTTCTTAGTTGGTAGATACACTGCTCAGCTTCCGGGCAGCCTCCTTTGCTGTGGCCCTGGCTGTGGGGAGTGGTTCCCCAATCTGCAGGGTACTTTTTCCAATGAGCTGTGACCCCAAATCAGGATCACGAGGAAGGACCATGCTTCGCCGCTGTATTAGTTACCCGTCGCTGTGTAGCAAATTACCCCCAAAACTCAGCGGCCAGGAACAACAGATGTCTATTGTCTCATGGTCTCCTTGCGTCAGGAATATGGGCAAGGCTTAGCTGGGTGCCACCTGTCTCAGGTCTCTCAAAGGCTGCAATCAAGGTGTCCTCTGGGGCTGCGGTCATCTCCAGGCTTACCTGGGGCGGAGTGGGGAGCGGGTGTCTGCCCCCCTGCTCGGGCTCTTGCTGGCTGTCTGCGGGAGGCAGGCACATGCCTCCTGGGCTTCTCCAAGGGCTATTTATAACCCAGCAACTAGATTCTTCCAGAGACTGTGAGAGAGAGAGAGAGAGCGCAAGAAGGCACCCGAGACAGAAGCCAGTCTCTTGTAACCTAATCATGGAGGTGACATCCCATCACTTTTGTTGTATTCTGTTCATGAGAAGCAAGTGACTATGTTCCGCCCACACTCAAGGGGAAGGAACACCAGGAGGTGGCGAATCCAGGAGGGCCATCTCAGGGGCTGCAGACCACAACCACTTTTAGCTCCATCCTCAGTTTCCGCGTCCACATGGATACTTCATTTCAAACAGTCCTTGGCAACTCCACCGCCTGCTGCCACCAGCTGGACCCTGGACCCACTTCCCCATCTCTGAAAATGTGGGCTCTGAAATCTGCTCTTTGACCCTGACCTTGTTGGCCTCTTACTCTTCCTTCCTCTTCTATCCCTCTTCCTCACTTGCTCTGTGACGTCCTAATAGCGCCTCTTGGGACCTGACCTCATCTCCCAGGCTCTCAGCCCCTCCTGTCCCCACAATCATCTCTCCCCAGTGAGCACAGATTCTCCCGGCAGAAACATGCCCCACCTCTGCCGGCCCTCATTCCCCGGACATCGTGCTGCACCTGCCCCGCTAGTCCCCAGGCTTGGCTGTCCTCCTCTGTCCCTCGCCAAGGCTGCCTGCAGAGTTGTATTTTTCTAATCTCAGTTTAGTCTTCAGGGCTGCGTAGCATTTTCCCCGTTCTTGACAGTTACCCCAAACTGTCACGTCTCTCAAACACCTCCCCTCTCTCCCCGCTCCCGAGCCAGCAGATCCCCTCACTCCTCTCCCTGTGGGCAGGAACTCTGTCTATCGCTTGAGCTCCCTGTTACCCTCGGGATATCCTGGCTCATACTCCTGGCCTAGCATTCAAGGACCTTCCGGTTCTGTCTCCTCCCCCAGCTCCCTTCACCCTCCTGCCCTCCAGCTTCATACCTTCATATCTTGCATCTGCATCTCTGCCTCCAGGCAGTCTGTTTTCCAGCCACATGGGATGACTTGCCGTTTTCCAGACCCAGCAGGTGCATCTAAGCATCAACAACCCTTTCAATCTTCCAGGTCCAGTGCAGATGACGCCTTTTCTGCAAACCTTCCTCGCTGGCTTTAGGAAGAAATTATCATGCCTCTGCTCAGCTCTGCTCATGTCTCTGTTTTTTTTCATTCTACAGTTAAGATTTTTCATTTCTGTCTCCCGCACTGGTCGGTACACCCCTCCAGAGCTGGGATTTTGGCTCATCCATTGCTCTCTCCCCAGAACTAGTGCCAGCCTGGCACACATTGGATGGATGGATGGATGGATGGATGGGGCTGAGAGCCTGGCTCTTCCCCTGGGGAAATAGTTCAAAGCAGAGGCTTTAGGAATCAGGTTCGAATCTTAGGAGGTTCATTGTTAGCTGTGTGACCTTGGGCAAATTACACAACTTTTCTCAGTGTCAGTTTCCTCAGCTATAAAATGGAAACAGTAACACCTTACTGGCTTGGATCACTTAGTCTTGAATGGAGCAAGTGTGCATTAAATGTTAACTCATCATTATTGCTGGTGACAGTTCTGGATGGGGGCTGGGGAGCTTGGATGAGAGGCCATCCCCCTGCAGAGCTACCTTCATTGTGCATCGGAAAGGCAAAAAGGGAGTCCTGGGCCTGCCCATCTGGATGCCTGCTCCTCCCTCTCAGAGCTGGGCTGCAGTGGAAGTGCCTTGCCCTGGGAAAGGAGGAAGCTCCACGTGCCACTGTGGCTGGTGGGGCTGCCTTGGTCCCTTGCCGCCGGGAGGCCGGGCCGAGTGCGGAGGTGCTGTGGGAATCCTGCTGTGGCGTGAGGACAGGAGTCTGTCCTGGAGCTTCCCCGGGAGCCTGGTCCTCTGCCTCTCTCAACCTCGTGGTTTCCCTCCCAGCTGCCTCGGGGTCCAAGGACCAGAGCCCCGCGGTCGTCGTCACCATTGTGACCATCTCAGCCCTCCTCGTCCTGGGCTCTGTGATGAGCGTGCTGGCCATTTGGAGGAGGTAGGTGGCTGGTCCCGGCCTGGATGATGCCTGATGGGCCATGTCCCTGCGCACATTCACACGTGCTCACAGGCACCCATGTCTGTATCTGCATTTGCACCTGTGCGGATGTGCACGGGCGAGCACACCGCTGTGTAGATACAGGCGTGGCTGGTGTGGTCCTGGCCCTCTTCCCACCGTCCTGACCCCCTGCTCCTGCAGTCGGCAGCGTGGCAGCCAGCACGGCAGCTAGCTCAGCCGCTCTGGGATGAAGGGGATTTAGCTCCTTAACTCATTAAATGTCAGAAGGCATCGCTGAGGATGGAATCAAGCTCCAGCTGCTCCGGTGTGATTAGGATCCTCCTGAGGCACTCAGAGGCCCCCAGCCCCTGCCCGAAAGGGATCTGGAGGCCCTTCAACACAGGCAAAAGGAAGAAAGGCAGAAATTGTGTGTTGTGTGTGTGTGTGTGTGCGCGCGCGCGCGCGCACCCGCGCCTGCGTGCAGGGAGAACAGGGAGGGGAACTCATAAACCAGAAACCCCCAACCCCCAGCAGAAGAAGCTGGCAGAGTGGGCAGAGAAAGGGGATGGGAGGAGGGGCAAAGATGTGGAGCTTGGGTCTGGCTCAGGGAAGATTCCGGCCCTTTGGCATGCAGCAGAAATCTCATGGCATATAGATCACCCTTCTCCCCACGGCCACAGTCTGCCACATGCAGAGGCACCCGGGTGGGTTCCAGGCTGGGGCTGAGGTCAGCAGACTGGAGGGGCTGGAAAGTCTGCATGTGACAGGCTGGAGTGGGGGGAGCACAGGAGAGGAATGGGCTGGCCCGGGAGCCACACATCAGCATCCTGGAACCGCCTGCAGGCTGGAGGGACCTTGAGCTTTCACTTGGCTCCGAGGGGACTGTTTGCTTGGTCTTGAATAAGGTGCTGAAAGTGACTGGGGAGGAGAGAGTCTGGGAGCCAGCTCTGCCCGGGGCCAGGTGAGTCAGGAAGGCAGGACAGGAGTGGAATCTCCTTCCTCACAGAGCTTAAAGGTCCTTATATGAGACCTGTTGGAAAAGCGGGAATGGACAGGAGCTGAGAGCATCTTGTCCTGGCTGTGAGCTCAGGGTCTCTGGGAGGCAGAAGGAGGAAAGGGGAGAGAGGTGAGCAAGGAGGGCCTCTTCAGGCAGACTCTACAGAACAGGGGCAGCTGCCCAGCAGCTCCTTGGAGACAGATGCACCAGAGCAGGCAGAGTAAGCCAGGGGTGGATTTCAAAACCTGCTCAGAATCAAACGGCACCAAAATGAGGATCTGCCTGGTCTAGCGCTGATGTGCAGAGAGGCACTCATCTCCAGCACGTGTGTCCCAGCTTTGCAGACGGTAACACCTCCCTCAGCCGTCTCCTCCTCTCGCAGTGTCTGCGGTATCCGCTCTGTGCGGTGGGCTCCTTACCTCCACTTTCCCTCCGCAGTCCATCTTGCGTCGCCCAGTGGGAGCTTCTCATTTTCTCTGCCACCACTCCTCCAGCCACTCAGCCTTGCCCCCTTCATCCCTCGTTACGTCTCCCAGGTGTTCCCCTCATTCACGGAAGTCCCGTTCCTGCGCTGGATGACTTCAGTAGCCATTGGAGGACCTGCCCCAGCCCTCGGCCTCTGGGTTCTTTGAGTCCCTTGTTTCCGCGGACCTTCTTTCCTGTTCCATCTCAGCTGCCCTCTCCCATCTCCTGACGTGGACCTGGCCATCACCCCAAACACTGACACCAGTTCTGCTTTTGCCCTGCAGACTCCCCGTCCTTGCAGCTCGCTCCCTCAGCCATGTCTGCTGCACCTGCCCTTTAACAGCAGCTTTAACCCCTCAACTTCTTGCCCCCAAGTCTACACACCTGCCTATCTCTGCATCCATCCTCCCCCTCCCCCTCCTTTTGCTCTAGAGGAGGTGCCATTCTCCCGGCCAGGATCTTCTACCTGTGACCATACTTCCTACCATCTCAGGAGCCCATTACTATTGATAATGTCCACTTCTGCCCCACGATAGCTAACACTTATTTAGTGCTTAGTAAGCTCTTGGCACCAGTGTGATCAGGCACGGATGTCTTTATCCTGATTTTATTAAAGAGAAAACCCAGCCACCTGGTCCCACAGACAGAGAGTGGACCACCTAGGGAGCCGGTCGTCAGATTCCAGAGCCCATGCTGGCGACCGCCATTGTGACCACTCCAGACTACAGGACAGCCTCCTCTTTCCCACTGGTATCGAAACGTGGTCATCTCTCTCCAGTCTCCCCTAACCCCTCCTCCTAGAGCCTTCACGTGACCTCGTTCCTCTGCTCTACTTTTTCTTTCCTTGCTTCCTGTGATATCGCCCGCCACCTCCCCCCACCCCCGCCCCCGATTTCCCTTCTGTTTCCCTCCAGTTTCTCTGGTGGTTCTTTCATGATCTCCTCCATGGCATCCTTCTCCTCTACCCAATTTTTAAATGGTGGGGATCCTCAGACTTGTTCCCTGTCCCACTTCTCAGGCTCCCTCCTCTCCCTGGGCAATACCCCCAGCTCCAGAACTTCTATCTCCAGAGCACACCTCCCTGCCAAACTCCAGACACACACATAGCTAACTCCCTGCTCATTGATTGTCCCTGCTTTTACCAGAGGCCCTGCAAACTCAAATGTCTAAATGAGAACTCCCAATCTCAGTAACTGGTACACTCCACACCCTGCTGGGCAAGCTGGAACCCGAGTTGTTCCAACCTTCCCCCTCTCCCTTTCTGCCTTCCAGCTATCTCCAAGCCCTGTGGCCCTGTCACCTAAATGTGACTTGAGTTCTCTTACTTTTCTCCGAGTCCATGGTCACCACATAGCCTGAGCCACTGCCATCTCCTGCGGGGACACAGCAGCAGCTGGGGTGATCTTCCTAAAATGCAAATTGAACCTTGGCTCAAAACCCCCCAGGGGGTTCTGGGGCCTCTCCTCTGCCCCCAGAATAAAACCAAAGTCTTTATCTGGGCCTGCAAGGCCCTGCCTCAGGGGGCCCCAGATGCCAGCCTGTGGCTTTGTTGATCATGATGCAGTCCTTTGGTCCATGGCTGCCTCTGTCTCAGGAAGCCATCCTTGACGGCCCCGGCCACGTCAGATCCATCTGTTAGGTGTTCCCCACGGCGCACCACCCTTCTTTGCTTGGACCTGTGAGTGGGCTTGTGGTTCCTTCTCAATGTTTGTTTTCTTGACTAGACACAAGGTCTGCCTGTTTTGTTCAGCTGTAGGCAGGGGAGCAGCTTGGGCTTGAAGTCAGGGCATGGATTTGGGTGCCTCTGGAGTTGCAAGAATACACTGTGTCTCAAAGTGAAAATAACTAGGAATGCGGAGGCGGGTGAGGGGTTAGGTCTGGGGCTAGGATTGTATGTGTGATGTGGGGAGAAGCTTTCAGACCAGCAGGACAAGAAGGCCCCTCCCCTGGGGCACAGACCTTATCCTTTTGGAGGAACAGAGAGGTGCCGCCCTGGGTGCTGGTGAGATGGGAAGGGCTGGGACAGCCTGGCTCAAAGGATGACTACGGACCCCCCGACCCCCAACCCCCTACCCCAGGACCTGCAGCTATGGCAAAGGAGGTCGGGATGCCCATGATGAGGAGGAGCTGTATTTCCACTGTGAGTTGTCTGGGCCTGACGCGGGGCGGGGCGGGCACCCCCCTACCTTACCCCTCAATCCTCTTCCTTGCTGCCATTGCATAACCCCCACTCCTCCAGTCGTGGAGGCCCCTTATCCCACGCCCCTCTCTTTCCCTGCGTTCCCAGTCAAAGTCCCAACTCGCCGCACATTCGTGGATCCCCAGAGCTGTGGGGACCCGCTGCTGGCTGTTCATCTGTTTGCCAAGGAGTTGGATGCGAAAAGCGTCACGCTGGAGAGGAGCCTTGGAACAGGCAAGCTAGGCACCCCGGAAGCCTTGTCCGTTGGGAAGCCCCGCCTCCGCCCCCTCCCAGCCGTCTCTAGAAGCCCCTCCTCCATCCCACCCCGTCTCTATCCTGTAAGCCTGCCTCCACCCCAAGTCCCGCCCCCATTTCTGGAGGCCCCGCCTCTACCCAGTCCTCACCCTGAGCCTCCGCACCCCCGCCCTCTCTAGAAGCCTGTCCTCCACCCTACCCCGCCTCTATCCTGTAAGCCCCGCCTCCGCCCCGCCCTCTAGAAGCCCCTCCTTCACCCCACCCGTCTCTATCCTATAAGCCCGCCTCCACCCCAGGTCCCGCCCCCATTTCTGGAGGCCCCGCCTCTACCCAGTCCCCACCCTGTCCAGGAAGCGCCCCCTCAACATCAAGCTGGACCTCCGTCCACCAGGATCCAGGGAAGGAGGTGGCAGAGGAGTCTGTGGCCCTGCCTTCCTACCCTTTGCCTGTCCCCAAGGTCAGAATTCTCTCCATTCAGGCCCTTTCAGAGCTGGCTCTGCAGAGTGCCACTGGCAGAAGTTTGGTCCCAGGCCTTCAAGGGACGATGGGGAGGGGCCTTTGCAAGCTTGGGGACCAGGCATACCTGAGTTCTAGTCTTGGCTCTACCACTGACCAGCTGTGTGACCAGGGGTATGTCCCTTTTCTGCTTTGAGCCTCAGTTTCTCATCTGTTAAATGGGCATGATATTTGCCTCAGACAGAGCTGATGTGGGGGCTTTCCAGCACTCAGCCCAGGGCCGGGTTCACAGTGGGTGCGTGCTCTCTAACGGTCAGTCCCCTCGCTTCCTTTTTTCCTGTCTGCAAACCCTCAGCCCCTGCACTAAGGGAGTGCTCTCACCAGGAGCCTGACACTCTTCCCTGGCACTGTCAGCAGACTCGCTGGGTAGAGACCAGAAAGGGGCAGCGTGGCAGAATAGGTGTCATCGTTACCCTTCCTGGGTCACCCTGCGCCTCTGGTGTGCTGGCATGTGCAGCGTCCTCTCTTTGAGGCTTTGGAATTTCCCGCCGAAGCAGGCAGGGAGGACTCCCCATTTCACAGAGGAGAAAACTGGGGCCAAAAGAGGGAGAGCAGAAGCCCATGTCACACGGCTGGTACTCAGTTTACCAGGATTTGAAATCAGGAGACCCGAGTCCCATGATCCAGAAGCTGCTTTCTCCTCGGCTCACCCTGCCCAGGTTGGCCGAGGGAGCGGCCTCCGGGGGGTGTCTGAGGTGCTCTTTCCCCCCAGGGCGGTTTGGGGAGCTGTGCTTCGGCTACCTGCAGCTTCCGGGCCGCCAGGAGCTCCCCGTGGCCGTGCACACGCTGAGGGAGGGCTGCTCCGACTTGCAGAGGCTCAGCTTCCTGGCCGAGGCCCTCACCTTGGGCCAGTTCGACCACAGCCATGTGGTGCGGCTGGAGGGTGTTGTCACCCGAGGTAGGGCCCATGCTCCACCAGTGTGGGAGGAGATGATGGGGTGGGAGGTGGAGGTGTGCTGTGCCCCCAGGCCCTCTGCTCAGTCACGAGAGGGAGCCCTGACGCTGCCCACCATGGAGAGAAGGGCTCAGCCCTCCTTCACTGACTCTGGGTGGCCTCTCGGACCCTGCGTGATCTTTGGGCGTGTGGTGACACTCGGTGGGGTTGGCTCACTTGGACCTTCAGAGTGATCGCCCTCAGCTAACTTGGTGCAGATCCTCACCTTGGCCTTTGTTCCCCTCAGACGACACCTCTTTTGTTCTTCAGCACAGAGGGTCCTGGGCTGGGCAGGAGGGTGGCAAGACTCAGGGAGCTTGGCCTTGGTTCTGGCCTTCGTGGCGGGGTCTGGGACCCAGGTCGGGGAGCACATGTGCTCACAGAGGGCAGCAGGCACCTTAGCGTGTGTTCCCCTCCGTGGGTACAGGAAGCACCTTGATGATCGTTACTGAGTACATGAGCCATGGGGCCCTGGACGGCTTCCTCAGGGTGAGTGGCCTGGGCCCTGCGGGGTACTGATGACCATGATATTCTTGGCCCCTCACTTTTCCCTTTGGTGGGACTTGGGGTTGGCCTCATTCCCTATAAAGATGCCCACTGACCAGGCTGACCTGGCAGGTCCCATGGCAAACTGAAGCCCAGAGAGGGCCAGTTGACTTCCCTGGGGTCACCCGGCAACAGGGGAAGCGAGAGTGCAGACTGGCGTCGCTCTCCTCTCTCACAGCGGCGTGAGGGCCAGCTGGCGGCTGTGCAGGTGATGGGGATGCTGCCCGGCCTGGCGTCGGCCATGAAGTATCTGTCGGAAATGGGCTACGTCCACCGGGGCCTGGCGGCCCGCCGGGTGCTGGTCAGCAGCGACTTCATCTGCAAGATCTCCGGCTTTGGGCGGGGACCTCGGGACCGAGCAGAAGCTGTCTACACCACCATGGTGAGGAGCCCTCCCCTCGGCAAGCTGCCCTGCAGTCCCCATCTCCCCACATCCCCCTTCCTGGCTGCGTCGGGGTCACTCCTGCCCCTCCATCCAGTTGTCCGTGCCAGTGTGGGCCTCGCCTGCGGTCAGCCTGTGGGCTTCCCCTAGATGAGCAGCCAGGGAGACGGCAGGTGGGGCTGGATCTGTGGCTCTGCGGGTGGGGAACCCTGGCTGTGTGACCTGGTCCCCTCCTGCCCCTGACCTGCCTGCCTGCCCGCAGAGCGGCCGGAGCCCGGCACTGTGGGCCGCCCCCGAGACGCTTCAGTTTGGCCACTTCAGCTCCGCCAGTGATGTTTGGAGCTTCGGTGTCGTCATGTGGGAGGTGATGGCCTTTGGGGAGCGGCCCTACTGGGACATGTCTGGCCAAGACGTGAGTGACACCCGTGGCTTCTGCTCCTTGCCTTCTGATCCTGTTGCTCCCTGACCTCTGCCCATTAACCCTTGACCTGTTAGCCCCAGGCCCCTCGTCACTGTCTACTTGCTTGCAGTCCTGCCTGGTCACCACTTGAGCCTTCCTTGGGATGGGGTGAGCGTGTGTATTGGGGGACCTAAAACCTCCTGTCTGCCTGCCACCCCCATGGCCTAGGTGATCAAAGCCGTGGAGGATGGCTTCCGGCTGCCACCCCCCAGGCACTGCCCCTCCCCCCTGCACCGCCTGATGCTTGACTGCTGGCAGAAGGACCCAGGTGAGCGGCCCAGGTTTTGCCAGATCCATGGCCTCCTGAGCAAGATGGTGCAGGATCCAGAACCCCCGAAGTGTGCCGACACTACCTGTGCCAGGTACAGCTGTCACCTCGCTTGTCCCAGGTACATTCCCAGGTATCTCCAACCATACCAGACGTAGCAGAACTCTCACCTGTCCACGAATGCCCCCCCCCCCCCCCCCCCCCCCCCCCCCACCCCCCCCCCCCCCCCCCACCCCCCCCCCCCCCGCCCCGCCACCATGTACAAGTACAGCTGCCCCACCTGTCCTCCCCACCAGTCCAGGTACAACTACTCAGGTACCCCAGATAGATCTAATACTCCCACCTGCCTTAGGCATGTGTAACTTTTCTTCTTAGTCACTTCTGCTTGTCCTGGGTTTTGCCCCACGTATCCCAGGTACAGTGACCACATACATAAATGTGGCAATAGTCCTAACATATCTGTAGTTCCAATAAATAAGTGAAATTAGTATTAGTTGTCCCCAATACCAGTCACTTCCCAAGCTCTCCTAGGTACATCCTACCCAAGACTGTCGCAGAGACTCCCTTTACCTGGCTCCTATGCAGCTCACTCTCTGCCAACCAGAGCATCGTGAACCCTCGCCTGCTCTGAGAATACCTAGAACCCTGTGTGAGCCAGGCTGTCGGAGGGCTCGGCCATCTTCCCCTTCTCCTGGCCGTTCTCAGACGGCCTCTCCTCAGGAGAGTGACCGGGTCTGGGCCCCAGGTCCCTGCTGTCGACTGACCACTGCTCCTCTGCTCCCCAGGCCTCCCACGCCCCTGGCGGACCGTGCCTTCTCCACCTTCCCCTCCTTTGGCTCCGTGGGCGCGTGGCTGGAGGCCCTGGACCTGGGCCGCTACAAGGACAGCTTTGCTGCCGCCGGCTATGGGAGCCTGGAGGCTGTGGCCGCCATGACGGCCCAGTGAGTCTAAGGGGCCCGGGGGCCCTGCCCCTGCCAGCATGGGAGGCCTAGCCGGTCCTGATTCCGGTTCCCTGGCTGGGCAGGGGGTGGGAGGGACAGCAGAAGGTGGGGAGGAGCCAGCTGGGTCAGACCCACCCTTCTTCTTCTTCGCAGGGACCTGGTGAGCCTGGGCATCTCATCGGTGGAACACCGGGAGGACCTCCTCAGCGGGATCAGTGCCCTGCGGGCCCGGGTACTCCAGCTGCAGGGCCGGGGGGTGCAGGTGTGAGCGGCCCCACTCTTCCAGGCCAGGACCCCAGGGGGCTCCAGCCCCCAGCCTTGCCCAGGACCCCCGCCAGCTGCACTCCACCCGTGCGGAAGTGAGCTCCCAGAGCTTGTGTGGAGCCCCGGTTTCCTCCATTTCCCTGCCTTCTCCCCCCATTTCCCCCAGTCTGAGCACCTTGGCTGACTCGGTCCCCCTGGAAAAAAGGTTCAAAACCTGGGGAGGATCCCTGAGATAACAGTGGGAGGAAATGCAGCATCTCAGAGACCAAGGTGGGCAGGGGCAGGGAGGAAGACATAGCTTTAAATGGCCCGATTCATGCCCTTCTGTCTTCCATACCCACTGGGGTCTGGGGCCTACTCCAAAGGGTGCCCCACTTTCCCACAGACCATTGGCCAGCAGGCAGCACAGGTCCCTGATGGATGGGCTCCTGTCAGTGCCCACAGCTGCCTGGCCGCCAATCCTGATGGGCCATGGGGCCTCAGTTCCCCGTATTCCAGCTGGGCCCTGTCTGGACACTGGTCCCGAGGCCCAGGCAGGCAAAGGTGGTGCTGAGCTCAGGGGCTGGACCCCGAGGGCCCCGGACTTAGGAGCTGATTTCTGCTTCCCCCACACTTGAGCTGACCATTCAGGGTGAGGGTGAGGGTTCCGGTGTTCCCCTGAGGCCCCACTAGGTGCCCCCCACCCCCTTTGCTTTCCTTTTATAAACTCACCGGCCAGGACATCTGGGAAGAGCATGAGGAGAGTAGTTTTCTCCCTGGGGCCCCAAGAGCTTTGCTCCCCAGACTTGGGGGATGAAGACATGACTCTCAGAGACGGAGCTTCTCTCTCTAACAGGCCTGTCCAACCCTTACCGTACAGGTGGGGAAAACAAGACCTAGTGAGGGGTCAGGGCCAGAGCTGGGGTTGAACCCATGTGCCCAACTCCCGATCCAGAGCCGAGGCTGGCTCTGGAGAGAGTCATTGGTCCTGCCCTGTGTCACCAACACTCTTTCCTGAGGCAGCCCAGGGGTACTCTGAGGTGACCCCCTCTTGCAGCAGGCTCCATCCCCTGCACCCAGCCTCCCGTGGAGCACCTCCTCCCTCTGGCCCCTTTTCTGTGGGGCTTTGGCAGAAATAGTTGCACTGAGCTGAGTCCAGAGTTCCTTATCCAGGAAGGCTTCCCAGAGGCGGGGGTGATCATGAGGGCCAGGGCTTTCGTGGCACAGAATGAAGGCAACTGGGTCTGGATAGGGTCACCCCTGACCTATGCCTGCTGTGGTTTGGCTGTGTGTGTGTCGGGTGGGATGGGGTGGGAAGGAGACAAGGGCTACAGGAAGGGGTGAAGGAGACACAGCCGGCCCTTGGAGGGCCCAGACGAGGCGGGGAGGTGAACTCAGGCTCCAAGAACTACTACACGTCCCCCACGGGAGACCTTAGGGCCTGTGGGCCGGACACTCCTGATGTGTGTATATGGAGGGGTGTCTGGAAAGGTTCCTTCGCTGAGAGTCTGATGCATCCATTGAACAGGAGGAGCGGGGGGAGGGCTCTTTCCTTAGGGTTGGTGGAGTTTTCCGCTGGCCAAGACGGAGGGCCTAGGACAAGAGGAATCCAAGCAGAGGGGCCAGCATGAGAAGGAGCCTGGACGGTGGGAGATGCAGCACATCTTTGGGGAGTGCTCCGTGGTGGGGGACGGTGCCTCTCAGCAGTGCCTTTGGCCTCATTCTGCCAGCAGGGCAGGCGTCCCCCCACCCCCGCTGTCCATCTCCTGAGCACCTGCCCCAGCTCAGTGTCCTGGGGGGTGCTAGGGGAGGCCGAGATATTTCTTCTACCTTTGACAGAGCTGGAGGGTCCCTTGCCGGTGCCCTCCAGGCCCTGCCCCGTGGGAAGTCTGGAAAGGACATACCAGCATCCTGTGGAGGGAGCCTCATTCCCATCTCCAGCCTCATCAGTCATGCCCTGAAGGTCAGAGTCCCCTCCTCCTCCCCCCGCTGTTCTGCAGAGTCCCCTGGCTGTGTTGGCAGGAATTTGGTGTCCAGGGTAGACCTCCCTTCCACTGAGGAGTGAGGTCCCAGCATCCTGATGGGTCCCAGGCCTCAGCCCTGCACAGGTGCCGGCAAGATGCAGGCTGATGGCTCCCTGGGAGCCCTCTACAGATCTATTTTTATATGGACCTTATTCACTGGATAGAGGTGGCCTGCAACCCCCCAGCACCCATATCTGAGCCCATCCAGGGAGGGAAGGGGCTGGTTGGTGGGGGGGGGGAGTGGTCCCTTTGACTAATTCTGGAGGTGTTTTTATAGTTCTTGGGTTCTATATGCAGGACAAAGTAATAAAAACTTGTCTGGTATGGTGCCTCTGTCAGTGACAGTTGCTTAACTGTTAAGTAACTTGTGTGGGAGGGTTTTGCCCCCCCTGCCCCACCACAGGGGTCTCCAAAGTGTGTGTCTGAGATCTCTGGGCAAGAGACACATTTAGGAAATAGATGACAGGACAGTGTGATCAGGGTTTACCCTAGGGGCGAGCACTGGGTGGCTTCCCCGAGGGGGCAACACTCCGTGGCGGTGCCATTGCCGGAGATGGACCACGTAAGGGGAGGGGGAGCAGGTTAAGCAGCGATGTGGGAAATGACGAGCTCGGTTTTGGACCAGGCTGCAATGTGTGTCTGACACTGTGAATAAACGATGCTTAGGTGATGTCCTAGCACAGCCTCCACAAGAACTAGCTCTTCATATGACTAATTGAACCTAACTGTTCATAAGGCAACACATTTGGACTTCTTTCAACAGGACGTCCCAAGTAGGGCTTTTGGAACGATCGGGGGGGGGGGGGCTGTAGGGCAAAGAATGAAACTACTGTTCATTGGAAACTCCCCTGGTGAGGGGAGGGTCTCATCCTCCCTTCATCCAGGCCTCATCCTCCCTTCAGCTCAGAGCAGCTCTGCTTTTATTTGCTTTATACACACAGCAGAGGCTACAAAGTAAACTGCCCACGGGGATGAGGTAAGAATTCTTTTGAATGGGAAGAGGTCTCTGAGGGCCAAGGAAAAGTGCTACACAGCTCCTCTTGACTGTGGCCCGTGTTGCTAGATATTTTTGGGTGGCTAGTGACTATTTTTGTGAAATCTCACCATTTTTAAATTGTTAGCAATTAATTTGAAAAGACAAAATCCAAACAGTGAAAAGCGTTTGCGGCCCTTTTTGGTCTGTGGGCTGGCGGTAAGGTTTGAATTTTCTTTGCTGCATGCCAGCCCTGTGATAGTTCAGCCCATGCCTTAAATCCTGGGATGGGGAGCTCATTACTGTCTCCAAGCCAACTCTTATATGGAATGAAGGACTGCTCCGTCTTTGTCGTGTGACTGGTATTTATTAGGGACCTGTTACATACTACACGTTCCCTGCAATTGGGACTAGGCAGTAGTGCAGTTGGAGCCAAACTAGGGTGAGGGTGGCTTTGAGTAAAGAATGTTGGATCCTAAGTGTTTTCTTGATGTCAGGCTCTACTTAACAACAGTGTAGCAGACGATGAAGGAAAAGGTAGAAGCCTCAGCTTTGGTGACTTAATCGCTTGAAATGAGTAACCTCTACTCTAAATGCTGTCACTGACTGAAGGGCCTTCTCCCTACTGTCAACACCGATGACCTGCTGAACCGTGACCCCAGTCTGTCTTCTCTTCCGCCGTGAGCCCCACGTCGATCGTTTCGGCGAAGAGCGAATTCCAGGAAGGCAGATCTGCCAGATCCTGGAGCTTGGGAAGTGAGAAGCACGATCACTGAATCACCTGGGCCCCTGCTTTGTCCCTGGCCAACGAGACTTGCTACACAAGTAAACTATAGATACTCTAGATACTGTGCCTCCATGATGTAAATTTCTAGCTCATGAAGGAAGATGTTGGGGAAAAGCTTCTTGGGCTAGGTTACCCGTGACCTGGATCCTGGGGAGAGGGCCCCCTCTTCAGGTATCAGAGAGGTTCTGCCTGAAGTAAAGGTTTTCGCATCTTCTGAGGAAAGTAGCTGCTTGCAGACCCCCACTCCAATAGCTTCAGCTCCAAAACTGTCTCTGGTCCAGGTAGCACAGCTTGGAGATGACAGGCAGGCGGAATTATCAATTAAAAACAAATCCACAATTTATTGAAAACAGGTACCTTTCAGTAGCTCTGATTAGAATAAATCAGCTTACAGATACCATGACTCAGGAAAACAGTATGTACAAAAGTCTCAGGAAAGGGAGAATAAAACAACTTGAAAAGAACACATCTTGAACAGGACTGGACTAGAATGGTCGTGTAGGAAAATAATACAGAGCACAACAAAGAGCCATACACAGAACGCTGTGCTCTCAGGCTTGGGGTGGGGACTCTCAGCTCCCACGTTCTCAGACCACATCTGATGATTCTTTGGGGCACAGGTGCTGGCTGGAGCGCAGCCCACGTGACAGCCCACGCCAGGGCAGAGGCCAGACGTGAGGAATGAGGCCACCAGGCAAGCTACGCCCACTCCCCCATGACCCTCAGAAGACAGAAGTGCTCTCTGCAGTCTACAGGCCTGGTGGGGCCACGGGGCCACGGACAGCTTGGAGTTCCTCTGCGGCCAGTCATGTAAAAACCCCCGATTAACCTAAACCCTACAGTTCCCTTATCCAGATTCCCACTAACTGGACTAACCAGAGAGGCAGAGGAGTAAGACATGGAAACTGCCCACAAACCAAGTTTTGGTCTTTGGTAAACAGGGATAATACAAAATACTAGTCTACAAGTCAGCTTGAAACCAAACTACTGGGCATGGCAGGTGTTAAGATTGCAGAGCCCTGTCAGTACCCACCACAGGAGGGAGGGGATGTGTGCAGGAGGGGAGATGTTTCCTCCTGTGGTCACTGCTGTGACAGGTCCTGGCCCCATCTGCACAGTCCTTCCCAGCTTCCTGGAGCTGCCCTCTCACGGAGCTCACCTCTCTGAGCCTAGCTCCCAGCCTCAAGCACGCACAGGGCGGGAACGCCAGCTGGAGCGGGCTCTCCGGTGAGGGCGAGTTGGCAGTCTTCCCGAGAACATGAGGCTCCCCTGTGCAGCCCCGGCTGGAGTTAGGGCAGGGCGAAGAGGACGTGGAGCTACAGCAGGCAGAGGCGGCAGCTCTGAGAGCAGGAAGGAGAATCCAGTTGGGAGAATGGCAGGAGGTTTGGACTGTATGGACACAGAGGCAGTGTCTGTCATCTGGGTTGGGAGGTGCCAATAGCAACATTTCCTGAATTCTCCAAGAGGAACGCTTCTCCCTGCTCTGGAACTTCACATTCAAACAGACAATAAGCCGAAGGGAAGAGGTGTCTTCAGGGTCCCAGAAGTGCCCATTGAAGGTCCATCCTGTTAAATCTGGCTTCTTGGACTAGCAGCCTCATTTGTGAGTCCGTATGCTGCTGCAGATTTGAGCAAGACGGCTCTGAAAGGAAAAGGAGAGAGGCCCTTTAGAGAGGATGAAGCTGGGCAGGCTTGCCCACTTAGCACATAGTCTACTCAGGTACCACTGGCTTTGGGGCCGGGCTGGTCTGAGTGAATCTCAGCCCTCCATCCTCTATTGGTAACATGAACAAACTAACCTTTCTGGAAGGCAGCTATGCTCTCCTCTATACCACCAACGCAGACCGAACTAACCTTTCTGAATCTCCATTTCTCATCTGAACAAAGGAGCAAAATACCATCTCAAATGAGACAGTGAAGGTATAATTTGGGAACAGCAATGCTGTAGGTCCAGCTAGATGATGGATGTCACCAGATCCGGGGGGCTGGGTATGTGCCTGATCTCAGCACCGGCCTCTGTTCTGTACAACATGTTTGGGAAAGTAGCTCCGCCCATCCCCTTACTTGGATATACCCTTCACAGACCTCCCCCCAGAAGGGGGGACCTACAGCAGTCACGTTTGCACTAGGTGTTCCCATCCACCAGCCAAAATCAAAGCGGAAGGGACCGGGGAGGGCCGTCTGACCAAAGCTGAGCTAATTCAATTCTTCCTCTTGAGAATTTAAATAAGACTGAAACTGGACTGTCCGTGTTGGGCAATGGAGCAATAGAGTCAGAGCTGGGAGTGTGGCTACCCAGATCCACATATTGACTCAAGGTAAGGGAGAACAGAACCAAGAGCCTCGTGGAGAAGGTTACCCGCTGAGTGGGGGAAGGACGAGGTGCAAGAGCGGTGAGGGCACGGGCCCCAAAGACAGAGTTGCTAAAGGAGCTGGTGCACCAGAGCGGAGCCCCATCAATCCTGGCACTGGTGGTCCCACCACTCAGAGGGCCTGCCCGTTCAGTGCTTTCTTTGATTCTGTGGGATTCCTGGTAGCAAGCTCCTCACCCTGTTCCCGAACTGTTGTGAGGAAGTTTCAGTTCCCGGGGGGTCAATTGTGCCCTAACATACAGGCACCAACTGCCTGAATGAGGCAGGATTTGATTCTCTTGTGGAAATTCTGTGGCAGGCACTCTGGTTGGACCAAAACTCAGCATCAATTTAGGGACAGAACTGCTGCTCAGTAAGCAGGACAACAGTCAAAATCCCTTGGGGGAAAGAGGCCACACAGTTGTAAGTGTAAAGCAGCAGGCCAGACCCAAAAGGCAATCCTAAGTACGGCTAAACCCAGAAGGCTACTGGAGGCCTCCTGTGTGTGGAGAGGAACCCGAGACTTACAGAGAGCTTCTTAATGTTTCCCAAGGCCTCTGGATCCAGCTGTGCGATATCAATCCTCTGCAAGTCACTGGCCAATAACCGCATGCTCTGTGTGGAGGGGAGAGGGTTAAAGTGGCACGTCCCTCAGGGCAGGAACCTCCACCCAGCAGCCCAGTGTGCTCCGGGGGCCCCTTGATGTCCTGCACTTGTGGAGGGGGATGGCAAGGCAGGCAGGAGGGGAGTTAATCCGAAAGAGACAGTGACGTCGGTGTTTATCACTGGGCCAATAGCTGGATCAGCTGAGTATAAGGGGTGCACGTTAGCTTAGAAACGCCCTGCAGACCTCATCTGAGATAAACCAACCCCTCCGTCCCAGGAGCCGAGGTCAGCAACTTGCTCTGCCTGCTTCAGACCCCTCGAAGCTACAGAGTGGAAGACGCAGCTCGAGCTCCCCTTTCCAGACTAAGCACACACGCACCCCGATAGTGCCCTCCTCTGCATGCCCTTTAATATCTCCCTTACTGCACACATCACATGTTATGGTTAATTGGGAGCCTAGCTTGACTACTGAACTGCTCCTCAAGGGCAGGAATGTCTTCTACATCTTGAACCTGCTACAAGACAGATGGGCAAATGTTAGTGGATGAACAAATGAAACCCAGAGCTGGGCAAGGATCTTCCCAGTCTGGAGCTCTAACCTGCGAGAGGAAATGGTTCTGAGTCCTACAGAAATGTGGATATCAGAAGCCATGCAACCAAAGGGACTTTGGGTTTTGGGAGAGAAGTGGGTGATGGACAAGAGAAAGAAATGCTGAGTAAGCAGCACGCCATGGCCTGATCGCCCTCTGGAACACTTACCTCTCCGCCTCCCACTGGCACAGTGAGGAATATCTCTTTGCTGTCAGCAAGAGGACTGCCATTTACAGAGACATTGTAAATCCGCTCTCTGGCTGCTGGAGTACGCAGGCCTGGGGTCTTGAAGACCCTATAAAGTGGGAAAATCTCTGTAAAGATGGCTTGGCAGACTGAATGACACCAGGCGCTACGAATCCTTCCAAA